TCACTCTGTCGCCCAGACTGGAGTGCAGTGGCCCTCCCAGCCACCGCAGCCTCGACCTGCTGGGCCCCGGCGATCCTTCCACCTCAGCCTTTGAGTAGCCGGAATTACAGGCATGAGCTACCAAGCCCGGCTGATTTTTTGATTTATTGTAGAGATGAGGTCTCGCTGCCCAGGCGGGTCTCGAACCTGCGGGCTCAGGCAATCCACTCACCTCAGCCTCCCATAGGCGTGGGATTACAGGCTGAGCCACCAAGTCTGGCTTCTGGAGTCTTATTCTTTCTTTCCATCCATTCTCTAATCCCTGTCGTATTCTGGGGCAGTCATTGGTAACTTCCATTTTTGGGGCACCAAGGTCTGATTTTTCAGGAGTTCTGTGTTTGGTATACTTGAAATTGCCTGGGGTCTTCCTTTGTTTTTTCTTCATTTGTGACAGATCTCTTGTTTTTCTCTTTAGTTCTGTTATTCAGTGTCAGTGGGTGAGTCTTTCTCTTCTGATGTTTGCTCAGTCTTCTATTCTTCCCTGATCTGTGCTCTGGATTTGTTCTATTTTGAAATAGGACAGTGGATGGAAAGCTTTGCTGTCTCTTGTAGTTTTTGAAAGTTGGATAAAGTAGGAGATGCGGCGCTAGGTTTCAGAAACTACTTTCAAATTACAGTGTTCACTTATTGTGGTATGTGTTCCCTGAGACCCACTCCCCACCAGCACTCTGTATGACGATGCAATGCAGAAACCAATGAAAAAAAAATTGAGCATGCACACACAGACATGCATACACACCCCAAAACAAACTGGAATAATAACAAGGTGAAACAAAACAGACAGTAACAACAAAATACCCCAGAAAACTGAACACACATCTGTGCACCTAGCACAAAGTGATTGGAGAAGTAAAACAGAAAGACTGGGAAAATAAAAATTAAAAAAAATAAATTCAGATCTAACCCTTACACATATATTGACACACACCTTAAAATATAAAAAATGAACATTAAAAAAACCCCGAAGAACAGATGAGCAAAAACAAACAACAACAAAATTGGAAGATTATCTCTCAATTATTCACATTCACACATAAACATAAAACAACATAAAAGAAGAAAGAAACAGAAAAAGAAAAAATTTAAAAATTTTGGGGGGATGCAGATCACACCCTCACATACATATTTATGCACAAAGGAAAAATATTTTTAAAATAGACGAACTAACAAACAGGCTAAAATTTTTTTTTTAATTAAAAAAAAGTTAAAAATTATAAAAACCCCAGACAACTTACCCTTTTGTGGGTGGCTCTGTAATTGTTCCTCTAATCAGATGTCTCCTGCAGATCCACCTTTTTCACTCTCTCCTCTCTGTCCAGATCAGGGAAGCAGGAGGGACATTGGAGCTGGTGGGGCTGCAGTCCTCCCATCCCACTGTCCTTTGGTCAGGGAGATCTCCGGTGGGGAGGTGCAAGATTCTGTCTTTCCCAGGTATGTACTCACCGGGAGTGGCCCAGCCAGGCCTATTCTGGAATGGAGTTCTCCTATTGGGAGTGACATGTAGGCTCCGCCTGCGTTTGTCCCTCTCTGTTGTGGCCCAGCTGTGTGTGTCTGACATTCGGAGGATTGCTGGGTAGTAGGGGATTTGCCTCAGTCCTGGACTCACCACTGATCTCTTTGGAGTCCTTCCTTGTCCTTTCCGGCCACACCCTCTATCCCACAACTTGATCAGGGTGAGGGGTGGGATGCCTGGGACTCAGCACTCGTCAAGTCCTTCCAATGTTTGTGCTTTCAGGATTTTGCCTCTAGGTCACGATCAACCCCTGAGTAGTTGATCCGCCAGTCACAGAGATTAGGTCTGTTGCTCTGTGGTGAGCAAGTTGGAGCACTTTCCTGTCCTGCCTTCAAGATGATGGTGGGGTGCCTCTCTTGTCCTCTTTGATGACACTCTGCCTCTGGGCTCCCTCTGCAGCCCCTGCTGCCAGTGCCCAGCCAGGCACTGAAGTGGTGAGGCAAAACCTGGCGCTGGTAGTCTCTCCTGTTGCAATGGTGAGACAGATCCTGTGGCTGTAGTCTTTCCCTGCTGCTTCTTCACAGGAAAACTTTTGTCTGTTTAAAAAGAAGTGGCACTCAGCTTCTGCAACCTGGGAAGAGCTAGGGACCAAGCAGAGAAGCAGCAGCACCAGCTGTTGCACTAGGATCCTGATCACTTGCTCGCGAGCCCCTACTTAGTCAGTCTCTCCCAGCATTTTCTTCCCAGGAAGGGTTTTGTTGATCAAAAAAAAAGGTGCTTGGCTTCTGCATCCCGTGACTCGCTAGAGTTCAAGCCCAGTAGCTGTTGCACTAACTGCTGCACGAAGAGAGTCCTGGCAGCTAGCTCCCTAGCCCTTAGTCAACCACTCACACGTCCACTTGCGCACCAGCATGTACACAAAATTTTCCATACACTCACACCAGGACTCGCCTAGTCAGACTGGCTCGGCCACCATCTTCCTGACCCCCCCCCCCCCTTTTTTTTTAATTTTAGGAGAGGAGATGTGGTAGGATCACTGATAATGAAAGGTACATCTTTTGCTGTACATATTCAGGAGTTGTAGAACAGGTCATGTATTTTTTTTTTCCTTTTGGCTGTATCCTAGAACAAATTTTCTTTACCATTAGCAAGTTACTGGTAATCTAGTAGTTCAAGCCGGGCTCGGTGGCTCAGCCTGTAATCCCGTGCCTTTGGGAGGCTGAGGTGAGTGGATTGCCTGAGCCCACGGGTTTGAGACCCGCATGGGCAGCGAGACCTCATCTCTACAATACATCAAAAAAACCAGCCGGGTGTGGTAGCGCATGCCTGTAATTCTGGCTACTTGGAAGGCTGAGGCGGAAGGATTGCTGGAGCCCAGCAGATCGAGGTTGCGGTGGCCGGAAGCGGCCACTGCACTCCAGTCTGGGCTACAGAGTGAGACTCCAACTCAAAAAAAAAAAAAAAAAAATCTAGTAGTTCATTACTTCCTTAAATTATTACATAGTACTACTAATTCAAAGTTATTTACATTGAAGCTGTTGTTGGATTACTCAATATTTTATATATCTTTGTTTTTTTCTGCAGTATAGTTCTAGGTAGAATCAATTAACTACCTTATTTTAATGAGGTTTACATACTTTTACAAGACTAGAATATGCAGTAATTAGAAGAAAGTCTGATAGAAAGAAATATCTATGTATTTTATTATTTGGAAATGACAATTTATGCTCATTGATAGATCAGTTGATATGAACAATTTGTTCATATTTGGGCAGTTCACTTTGAAGATCATTTGAGTAAATGCTATGTGGCATGAAACTCCAAATGAGTGAACTAACTGAAATTTGTACTATGTCAACAATTGCTACTGATTGGAACTATTATTGAGGGCTTATTCTGGGTCACACACTATCAGCATCTTATGTGCATCCTTGCATCTACTCATAAAAATCCTGTAGGTGAAAGTGTTAGTGTTATCCTTATGTTATAGGCCGAGAGTGGGCAATGTACCCAAGTTTGCAAATTAGCTAGTAATTGGCAGTCTTGAGGTAAGCCTAGACCCAGCTCTAGAACATCTAGACCAGCATCATCTAGTTAAAATATGAGCAATTTAAAATTTTCTAGTAGCCACATTTAAAAAAGTTTAAAAAAGGTGAAATGTTATTGCATATTTATTTATTAAAATATACCCAAATATTATTAATTGAAATACTATAGATTGTTGAGCTGTTTTACCTTGTTAGTCTTTGGCAACAAGTCTTTCAATCCTTTGTGTGATTTTACATACCTCACACCTAGTGCAGGCTGTCCCTGGCTCATGTGCTCAGTAAGCCTTGTGGTGAGTCTGTGCTCTGCTCAGACTGTTTGTAAACCAAAAAAAATGAAAGAAGGAGGAGCCATAGCTACTTACAATCTCATCTGCTGTCATTTTATTTTAAGGTAGTCTCTTAACCTGTAATCTTCCTTTGAATTCTTCCCTTCCCCTTTTGTGCTACTGAGGTAATTCTGCTTCTCTGGAGTGCTCCCAGAACAGATGGACCTGGTGCCAGTTACCCAACACCAATGTGAAACAGAATTTATTTTTTTCAATAGCTGTATTGTTCTCTCACCCTTTTCAAGTGTTTTTATGTTTTTCTTTCAATAAATAAATGATTTTTGTATATTAAAATGCATTTTTGGGAGGTGAGAACAGTACTTGTTCCAGAAGTATAATTTGTATGTTGACTATTAATAGTTCTTTAAGAAGCAGTGGTTTTCAGAAGTGTACTCTGCTCATGGGTGGTCTTTTCTTTCCAGAACCTCATCTGCTCTGAATGTGGGGATGAGTTCACCCTGCAGAGTCAGCTGGCCATCCACATGGGGGAGCACCGGCAGGAACTGGCCGGAACTCGAGTGCATGCCTGCAAGGCCTGCAAGAAAGAGTTTGAAACCTCTTCAGAACTGAAGGAACACATGAAGACTCATTATAAAATTAGGTATGAGGCATTACATGGGCTTGGTAGAAAATTGACATCATATGGTAAAAGGTGGTATACTTTGCTGTGGTCAATTAAAAACATTTGCTGTAGGAACGTGGCAAAATGAAACTACAGAATTTGGTATGATGTGGAAAAATCTTTCATGATGTGCAGTGCATGACTGCAGCAAGGAAGATAGTGTGATGATAATAAGTAGGTGCAGGCTTATGGGTAGAAATGTTCAGCTGATATTGCAATGTCGAAAGCTGTAGAGTGAGGGACTGGAAATACATTTTTGTGGGCAGGTAACAAAATATGTGTTCTAGGCTCACAAGGGTTTAGTTAGCACCCTTTTAAAAAATATTTAATTTCAATAGCTTTAGGGGCTACACATAGTTTTTGGTTACATGATTGCATTGTACAGTGGCAAAAAAGTCTGGACTTTAAGTGAACCCACCATACATTGTACTCAATAGGTGGTATTTCATTAATTAGCACTCATTTTTTTTTTTTTTTGAGTCAGGATCTCGCTGACTCAGACTGGATTATAGTGGCACGATCATAATTCATTGCAGCCTCAAACTCCTGAGGCTCAGGCAGTTCTCCCAACTCAACCTCCTAAGTAGCTGGGACTACAGGCATGCACTACTATGCCCAGCTAACTTTTTTCTGGACTTTTTTTAGAGATGAGGTCTCACTGCGTTGTTAGGTCTTAAACTCTTGGGCTCAAGCAGTCCTTCCACCTCGGCCGGGATTACAGGCATGAGCCACTGCACTTGGACAATTTGCACCCTTTTTAATGAATTAGTTTATTTATAGTACCCAACTGTTGAGAACTCATATGTGCCTGACATTGTTTTTAGCATATAATACATATATCCTCATTTATTCATGACAAACAACCCTGACAGGCCAGAGCACTTTCAGGTCCTCATTTTGCAAATGAGAAAATCTAGATTAGAGGGACCAAGTAAATTTGATGAGGTTTTGCACCTTGCAAGTCAAGAGTTTGAAATTTAAACCCTAATAGACTAGTTTTAGTACTTACCATCTTAACAAGTGTGACTGTATTTGAATGCATGTATGCATTTATTCCTAGTCAGACTTAGACTTAACATGTTTTTGAAAATTTCATATTTTACCTATTTCTGATTATATATTTGTACTGATATTTCCCTTTCTTAATAAAATGAAATAGTTTTTCCCAGCTCTTGTGCTCAAGTTACCTAATGGTGATAGTTAGCTCATAGTGCTGATTTCACCAACAAACTGTAAAAGGTAGTATCAGTTATCGTTTTCAGCTGTTATATCATCAGTTTAGCCTGATACCCTTCTAAGCCCAAATGTTTAGGAAATATCCATACTTTTCAGCAGCAATAAGAAGTCCTGTACCAGTTAAATAATAAAGTGCATATAATGTACAAAGACTCTAGTATTTATTTATCTTCATTATACTTTAGAAAGGTGGACTGAACATCTCCATATGATGAGTCATTTCGACTTTCCCTTTCATTTTGCCTATTGTTGACTGATGTGGTACCCACCTAATGCTTCATTTTTTCAGTGATTTTTAACCTCCTCCCCAGATAGAATACATCTCTCTATACACACCAGATTTTTATTCTGAACAGAATTTTTTTGGTTATTTTTTTTTTTGAGTCGAAGTCTCACTGTCACCTAGGCTGGAGTGCAGTGATATGCTCACAGCCACCGCAGCCTCCACCTGCTGGGCTCAGGTGATCATTCTGACTCAGCCTTCCAAGTGGCTGGATCCACAGGCGGGGCCACCATGCCCAGCTGATTTTTTGATTTATTGTAGAGATGAAGTCTCACCATGTTGCTCAGGCTGGTCTCCAACTCCAGGGCTCAGGCAATCCTCTCGCCTCTGCCTCCAAGGTGCTGGGATTACAGGCTTGAGCCACTGTGCCTGGCTTCTGACGACGTTTTAAAACAGGCATTTTTGCTGTTTTCTTCTAAGTTCTTGGAGGTGATTGAAGATGTTTAGATGGTCTTATGCTCATAGACAGTGCTGGCTCCTAGGTCTTCCAGGATTAAGGGACAAACCAGACAGATGAAGCCTCATCCTCACAGAGCTGTCATTTAGTAGGGTAGATGCGTAGTGACAAAGTGAATGGATCGGTTGGTATGATAGTTTTAGTAAGTGATAAAGGTTAAGAAATACAGAAAATTGCCTTGACCTGCAGTGGTGTGAAGATGACGGAGGTTGGTGAGGCAGTTGATTTGCATAGGCCTTTCTGAGGAGGGAACATTTGAAGGGAGTTTTGGGTGGTGAAAAGAACACTGTAGGTTTAGGGGAAGAGCATTTCAGGCTGAGAGGAGAGGAGCTTACATTTCAGCAGCAGTGACTTTGCTGTGTTTGAGAAGCAAAAAGGAGGCCAGTGTGGTGAGAGCCTTCTCCAGAGGAAGGATGCTGGACACTGAGTCTGAATGAGGCAGGTCCCAGGGGCTGCAGGGCTTTAGAGCCCATTCTGGGAATGTGTGTTTCCTGTAATTGGGCTGGGAGTCCTTGGAAGCTTTTACGCAAAGTAGTGGCCTGGCCAGACTTGGGGATAGTGCTGCAGCTGCGGTTTGGGTGGAAGTTGAAGCAAGAAGACCTTTTAGGTATGTCAAAAGAGCGTGCTGGAATGATAGTGCTGTTCTAAGACCTTGATGGCAGCTGGAGAGTTGAGAGATATGAGCATATATATATTTTTTGAGTTAGACTCTCACTCTGTCACCCAGGCTGGAGTGCAGTGGCACGCTCATAGCCACCGCAGCCTCAACCTGCTGGGCTTAGGTAATCCTTCTACCCTAGCCTTCCAAGTAGCTGGAACTATAGGCATGTGCCACCACTCTTGGCTAATTTTTTGATTTGTTGCAGAGATGAGGTCTCACCAAGTTGCCCAGACTGGTCTTGAACCCGTGGGCTTAGACAGTCCTCTCACCTCAGCCTCTCAAAGTGCTGGGAATATAGGCTTGAGCCATAGCTTTTGGCCTAGATATGAGCATATTTGGAGGTGTTTCAGAGTAAAAGCAGCAACTTTTGGAGGTGGACTCGAGGAGTCCAAGGCACACTGCTGGGAATTTCCATTTCTTGACATGGAAAGGAGCAGATTGGGAATAAATGAAGAGTTCTGCTATGGATGACACCCATGAGGCAGTCAATGCAGGTAGAGAGTTAGCTATCCAGGGCTGGAGCCTGGAGATGGCAGACTGTTGGTGGGAGAAGCTTCGACGTATCAGTGTATATTTGAGATTGAGAGCAAGAGGCTGGAGTAGATGACAGAGGTCTAGTGTCAATGGAGAAACTATATCTGTATGTATCTTTGTTTTTTATCATCACCAGTAAAGCTTTGTTTAGAAGAGACATTCTGTTCCCCCCACCCCAGCTGCAGTTTTTGACCTTGAAAAATCAAGCTTTACTTTTCATCAGAAATAGAAAAAATGAATTTTATGATTTTTTAGTACACAAAACTAATACATGCCTAGTGTGTGTGTGTGTGTCCTACATAAACATATCCATATATATGATTGATTTATCATTAAAACACATTCTGATGATTGGTCAGCCACATTATCTAGTAGGATTTTCATTTTGAAATTGTGACATAAGGGAGACAAATTAATGTATATTTTCCTTTCTATATTACTAGGGTATCAAGTACAAGGTCTTATAATCGGAACATTGACAGAAGTGGATTCACGTATTCATGTCCACACTGTGGAAAGACGTTTCAAAAGCCAAGTCAGTTAACGCGACATATAAGGATACACACAGGTATCAAAACATTTACTTCTGAATGATTTATTATGTGCCCTGAAGGAAAGAAAACGTGTCTTAGTGCTAGCTCAACCTGGAATCTGTTCCTGGCTTTTCTCTATAGTTTGCTGAGTAATTATGGTGAAATTACCTAATTTTTCTATAGATTTAATTTCTCATTTGAAAAATATGGTTACTATGTCTGCATAGTTGTCCTAAATTACAAATGGAAAAATATATGTAGTACTTACAGAAATTGGGAGTTAATATCATTATTGTTATTGGTGTGGCATTTATTCTCTAATTTGTGAATATTTGTTGAGTGTGTTACTATGTGTCAGATGTTACCCTGGACCAAATATATCTGACTTAAACTAAGAAGGCACAGGGTCTTCATATTCTAAGAATGCCTTCACTAACTGGCCTATAAAACATTAATATATTAAAAACTTTATTCCCCTGTGCCTTACCTTGTTCATTTCTTTGTTTTGCTTGAGCATTTGAAAGTGAGTAGAGCATTCAGAGCTGAATACCCTTTGCTGTCTTGTAAAAATTAGTCTGTTTATAATATTGTATTAGTTGTCACATGATTATCTCAAGAGAGGACAAAAGGAAACTGTACAAATATTTTACAGTATTTGAAATTAAAATGATCCATGCTTTGTCATTTTGTTTTTTCTGTACTTGATTTTGTTTTCTTTAATAGTGACAATGTAAGAAATCTCACAGCTGTTTGGTTGGCTGCTGCTGTTTGCCAATCAGTTCTAATGATGCTATGTTGCTTTTTTCCTTTTTCAGGGTTTTAGTGAAATATCTCTGTGCAGAGTATTGCAGAGTCATTCAGATGGTTCCTAGTTTATTTATATGTCAGTAAAATTGATATTATCAGAGCATAGGTTTTTTTATTTTTTAGAGCAAGAGAAAAAAATAATGTATTTGAAAATGCAGTAATATATTGGTAATCAAATTCTAGTTTATCTGTTGTGAAGTTATGATCAATGAAAAAAAGTTATATCCTTTACCTAAAGTAAAGACATATAAAGCAAAAAGTAGAGTCCTTCTCATGCCATCTTCTCAGTTGTCATTTACCTCAACAGTTTGATATCTAGCCCTTTTAGATTTGTTTCTACGAACACATGAATGCACACACATCATAAGCTTACTCTTATGCTTATGACATGTACATGTGTAATTTCACATATGTATAATTTTGGGATTCTGTGATATGTACTCTTCTTGGCATTGAACTTTTAAGCACACATTGTTGTTCTAATTGGCCAGTGAGCTGTGAGCTGCCCGGGGACAGCAGTGCATCCCAGACCCATGGGCCACACAGGCCACCGTGGCTTAAGCGGGAGGCAGGCTAGCTGGTGGGGGAGGGGAGCATCAATCACTCATGTGCCTATCACTTCCTGTCTGTTATGTGTGTCAGCAGATGGTTCCATGTTCTAGGCTTGGTCTCTGAATGGCTGTGCCTCATGATATGTGTGACAATTTGATGGGAGTGACCTTCTGCTAGACTATGTCTTGACTGTCCAGAGAAGGTCATCTAAAGCAGGAAGGGTATCTCCACTTGGGCAGCTTGTGACCAGGACCTGCTCTTCCCATGACTCTCCTGCACCCACTCCCCACAGGTGAAGCAAGCCTATTTCCTGTTGGTACACTGCCCCAAGAGTGTTATAGCTCCTTCATTTATTTAACCCTAAACCCGTCCAGAGAAGCATGGTTCTAATGTTATTGCTTACTCAACTGCTTTCTAATTCTTAGGGAGAAAAAAAAAACCCATTTTTCTCTTTTCACTCATTTCGTCATCAGATGTGAATTGAATGTGACTGTGTGTGTGAAGTTCTTTTCTAGGCACTGAGTAGAGAACAGTGCGCAGGGCCCTTGCCCTCCTAGGGCACGTACTCTGGTGCGGGGAGCTAGATAATGAGTGATGTGTAGAAAGTCAGTAATGATAGTAGTGTGGAAAAAACAAAGCAGAGAGAGGAATCAGGGCTTTCCAGAATGGACACAGGACATTTGAATGTTAAATAGAATGTACTGGAAAGTCCTCAGAAGAGGTGATTTTGAGCAAAGGCCTGGAGAATGTAAGGGGAGCAAGCCATGGGGATACTCGGGCAAAACCTTCCAGGTGGTGGGATTTCAGAGACCAAGGAGTGGAAACCTGTCTGGTTTGTTCAGGGAACAGCAGGGTTGGAATAGAGGGAGCCAGAGCAGGGAGTGAGCTGAGGATGCCCGGAGCCTCAGCAATGGGTCCTCACAGGCAGGGTGTTAGGAGAACGTCAGCTTTTACTCTATGTGCAATTGGAAGTGAAGCAATTGAGAGTTTTCAGCAGACAAGTGACTTGCTCGGATTCAGACTTTACAAAGGGGTCCTTTTGCGTGCTTATTTGAGGACTGCCTGTGGAGGGGTCAGGTGGAGGCAGTGAGCCTAGGGAGGGGCAATTTCAGGAGTCCTGAGTGGTGAGTAGCACGCTACACCTGCTGATAGTTACGGATGGGTTGCAGGGCTGTTCTGGGTGTATTTGGAAGTATTAGGTGTGAAATGTGTGGGAAACCAGACATGGTTTACTTAGGTAACTTGAATATTTCTTTTTAATCCATAAGATGCTCATACAAAATAGAGTCTTGTTTTCATCATTTTCCCTCTCCAGGTGAAAGGCCATTTAAATGTAGTGAGTGTGGAAAAGCTTTTAACCAGAAGGGGGCACTGCAGACTCACATGATTAAGCATACAGGTGAAAAGCCCCATGCCTGTGCCTTTTGTCCTGCCGCCTTCTCTCAGAAAGGGAATCTTCAGTCACATGTGCAGAGAGTTCATTCAGAGGTAAGCATAGTGTTCTGGGTGTACACAGTATTTCACAGTGGGTGGTGGGTTTCTTTTGAGCTAATAAGCCAACCTGAGAACTTCTTTTCCATTTTTAAAAATGCAGATTGAGTTTGTACTGAGTAGACCTTGTTTTAGAAAATACACATATGGGAACCCTTTTGGTTTACAACATATGGAAGAAATATAAAATACTATATTTTTGTCTTCTTGCTGATGTAATAGCTTTGATTAATAAATGCTTGGGGCCGGACTCGGTGGCTCAGCCAGTAATCCCGCGCCTTTGGGAGGCTGAGGTGAGTGGATTGCCTGAGCCCGCGGGTTCGAGACCCGCCTGGGCAGCGAGACCTCATCTCTACAATAAATCAAAAAATTAGCCGGGCATGGTAGCGCATGCCTGTAATTCCGGCTACTCAGAAGGCTGAGGCGGAAGGATCACTGGAGCCCAGCAGGTCGAGGCTGCGGTGGCCGGGAGCGGCCACTGCACTCCAGTCTGGGCGACGGAGTGAGACTCCAACTGAAAAAAAAATAAAAAATAAAAATAAATAAATAAATGCTTGGGAATAAAGCCATTCTTAAAGATTATATGTATCTTTTTTTTTCCTTGAAGTAACACCTTCAGTAACACTTAAGTGAACTGAAAGTTAATAGTACACTTTTATCCAAATTTAATAAAAAAAAGAAGTTGTCTTTGATGTTAGATAAGCAGAATAATATCTAAAATGAAAAAGAGGGAATCAAAAATGAAAAAGAAAACCCTGTACACGTCACATAATTTTATAGACATATTCAGAATTTCGTATACAATGAATTAGTCTTTTTATTATCTAAGACCTCGACACATCAGGAAGGACATCCAAGTATCAGTGAGGTCCTGACATTGTGAAGGGAGGTTACCTTTAGATGGTGGAAGAGTAACTCTGGTTTGTGTAAGTCTTCCTGTGGCATAGCCTTTGAATAAAGATGATTGCATAGGAAAGACTGTACATTTGTGTAACACACAGAAGTATCTAACCCTGTGAGATACTCAGTGCTCCTGAGTGTAGAAAACTCCTAAACTTAAGGGAGCCTGGATTTTCCTGTCACTTTTGAGAGACACTCTGGGACCTGGACTGCGATGGATTGTTCCAGAAAGGGACTATCTAGATTGACATGTAAATATTATCCAATCCTGCGAGGGACCTAAGTCTTATATCTGGTTCTTATCAAGGTGCTTAAAATAGAATGGGAGTCTTATTCAAGTTTAGAGGGGACCAGTGGGTTTCAAGTCAGCCTCCATAGCTATAACAATGACTATGTTGAATTTGAGTACTAGTAAAAGAATATTCTAGATGCTTTCTCTGTTCATAGATATTCTTACTCATTTTACTGCTTTCTGTAATCTGTTTCTGGCTTTGTCATGGTTTTTAATATTAGTCATTGATATGGGATATCAAAATTGGTGATGAAAAATTTGTATAACCATCCTTCCCTAACTGTATGTTTTGACACCCCCACAAGCATATTCTGTTTAATAAGTGTTTATATGTAATTGTCTGCTCTTCATTATTGAACATTGTTTTTAACCACTTAAAGAATTGAGAGCATCATAGGTTTGCCACTTTATTTTTATTAAATTACAATAACTGAAGAATACATTTCCTTATTTCTTTGCTTTTTTTTCTTTTCTTTTGATTGGGGTCTCCCTTTGTTGCCCAGGTTGGAGTGCAGTGGCACAATTACGGCTCACCACAGCTTCAGCCTCCTGGGCTTAAGTTGTCCTCCTGCCTCAGCCTCCCAAGTAGCTAGGACTACAGGCACATACCACCAAACCTGACTGGAATTTTTATTATTTTTGTAGAAACGAGGTTTTGCTATGTTTCTCAGGCTGGTCTTAAACTCCTAAACTAAAGCGATCCACCTGCCTCAGTCTCCCAAGGTTCTAGATTTATAGACGTGAACCCAGTTGTTTCCTCCCTTCTGAACCATGTCTAATTTATAGAAAAAATATGAAATTTCAGTTAATCTCATACTAGCAAAATTGATTAAAGAATTGGGTTGTTCCCTTAACTGTATCCTACAATTTTAAAATAAAAAATATGTATTAAAAAAAAGAATTGTATTGTTAATTCTAGAGCTATATAAAAGGAAAAAAGTAATGTTGAAGGATTAGATTATTTCTGTCACTTTCAGAGGAATGGCAAATTATGATTTAAATCTTTTAATATAATAACTAATTGTAAAAAAAAATTTCTTTTCTTTTTTATTCTTTAAGGTCAAGAATGGTCCTACCTACAATTGTACAGAATGTAGTTGTGTATTTAAAAGTTTAGGCAGCTTAAACACACACATCAGCAAGATGCATATGGGTGGGCCACAGAGTTCAACAAGCTCTACAGAGACGGCTCATGTTTTAACGGTAAGTTTAGTAATTGGGTTACAGAAGGATTTTTTAAAAGCCAAAATCTATTATTTTAAATATAACCTTTAAAATAGAATATTTAGTAGCAGAAAGGTGCTATAGAAGTTATGGGGGATAAGGTGCTACTTTGTTTTTATTATTTTATTTTATTTTATTTTTTGAATTGGAATCTCACTGTCTACCAGGCTGAAGTGCAGCGGCACCTTCATGGCCACAGCAGCCTTGACCTGCTGGGCTGAGGCAATCCTTCTGCCTCAGCCTTCCAAGTAGCTGGAACTACAGGAATAAACTGCCATACCTGGCTAATTTTTTGATTTATTGTCAAGATGAGTTCTCACCAGGTTGCCCAGGCTGTTCTCAAACCCATGGACTCAGGCAGTGTTCTCACCTCGGCCTCCCAAAGTGCTGGGATTATAGGCATGAACCACTGCACCCGGCCTTACTTTATTTTTAATTAGTGAAAGAAAGTCAGTCTTTTTAAACTTTAGAATAATATTAGATGATTCTGATTTTTGGACTGACATGTGGGCCTGTAAAACTAAGACAAGATGTAATCATTAACTTATGAAATTATAATTTCCACTGTTAGCGTTATTGATGATTATTGAATATTCTTCATCTTTATAATTTAATAATTATTCTTTGTAGGTGATATTTTACCTTTTCTAATGTGACGTTGATAATTCTCCTCAAGTCTTTGGATTTTTGAAACTAAATTGTATGTTCCATATATTTATTTCAAAATTGTATGACTGAACATGTGTGCACACAGACACGCACATACATGAATACACATACTTTTATTCTTTTTTTGTAGGATTTTTTTAGCTCAACCTCAATCAGTTAACTTCTAGTACACTATCTTGATTCATAATAAATGGTAAAATCAGAGCACAGAATATAGTATCTTAAAAGTAGCAGACATGAAATACAGAAATTGCAGAAACTTTAATGTATGCTTATGGATGCAGTTAGTTGGTAGTTTGTGTTCAGTCAGCAGTGCCTCCTATTAACATGGAAAATAGGCCTAGTTAATAAACATTAGGTTCACTTTTAGTGTTTTGCTTTTTTTTCTTGCCTCACAATATTTGCAGCTTGGGATGATTCCTTAAATTATTCTTGAACAGGGAGAATGTTGTAAAACTGATGATAAAACTGGAGAATAATTAGAGTCTAATAGTTAAGTCTTGAAAATTGTTTTGGATTGAATTTTTTAAAATAAAACTTTCAGTGTTGTATAAATTAACCAAATCTTAGAGTTTCCATCATTTCCTTTGGAGTATGTAATAAATCCTCTGGAGTAGCCATCCAGAATAATGTATATTCTCAAACAAAAATTATAAAAAATTCAGTACAGGGATTTAGAACCCTGGGATCTACTGTACCTTGTACTCTAATTTGGGCATGTAAGAATAAGCACAAGAAGTTCAGCTATGTATGTTCTTTGCAAGACTGTTGAGGAATCAGTGTTTGGCCTCTAAGACTGAACATCTGTGTGTCTCTTATTTTGCCTTTCACATTTTCTAACTGCTAGCCTTTTTGCGCTACTTTTGAGAGGTTTCTTCAGCTATATCTTGTGACTTTCTTATGACTTCATCTTTTTTGTTTTGTTTCTTGTAGTAAGACTTCAAGTTTCTGAAAGCTGTCCTTTGTGATCAGATGTATCTCTTTCTGGCTTGATGTACTTTCTCTGAAGTCTAACTTGTACTTTCTTTTTAGAAGTTTTCTTCTGCTCATTGAGTTATCTGCCTTGGTCACTTTCCCTTCCTCTCTCCAGTACAAATCTTGTAATATTTGGTTGCCTGTTTGTATTTCAAAGAGGGGCAGCAGTGAGCCTGTGTGTAAACTGTTTACACGTTGGTGCATGTTGGTCCCCAGGGGCACTTTAAGTGTGAATGGCCAGGGAACTAGTCTTTAAAGGGACCCTCGTGATGGAACACAGAATTATTTATGTATAGTCTGGGGAATGAAGTGCCACAAAAGGTACCCAGTTCTCCCCAGATATTTGTTGTCTTTTATCATTATCAGAGGCACTCCCTCATTTTGCTTCAGGGTTAGTGCCTGTCACCTGTTCTATGGAGAAACAAGAGGTTCATTTTCAGACCTTAATTTTTTTCTATTGCCTTTATTTTTTAATTAATAGCATTTTAGAGCAATTTTGGCTTTATAGTGAATTTGGGCAGAAAGTACAGAGAGCTCCCACATGCTCTCCTTCTCTTTTCTGACAGAATCCCCTGTTGTTGACACCTTGCACTGGTGTGGTACGTTTGTTACCGTTGGTGAATGAATATTGATATGGTGTTACTCACTGAAGTCCCTAGTTTACATAGTGGTTCACTCTTGATGTTTTACATTCTACAGGTTTTGATAGGTGTAGAGTCCTGTTTTCTTTTCCACAGTGTCATACAGAGTAGTTTCACCACCTTCCCTTGTCTCTTAGATGGGACCATTTCGATTCCCAAGCTTCTGCCAGCATCAGGCTGGCTTCCCTTTCTGTCATTGCCCCTCCTCCCACTTAGATTTTCTTCTGTAACATTACAGAGCATTGATTCTTCAAACCTCCCTATTTTCAGAAATTAGTTGAATTTTTTGACCATAGTAATTTGTCTTAATTTTTTAAAACTTCATGACTTTTTAAATTCCTTCTTTTTTTTTTGAGTTGGAATCTCACTCTGTTGCCCAGAGAGGAGTACAGTGGCATGCTCATGGCCACCGCAGTCTCGACCTGCTGGGCTCAGGTGATCCTTCTGCCTCACTTTCCAAGTAGCTAAAACTACAGGCATGTGCCACCACACCTGGCTAAGTTTTTGATTTATTGTAGAGATGAGTTCTCACCAAGTTGCCCAGGCTGGTCTCGAACCCGTGAACTAAGGCAATACTCTCCCCTGGGCCTCCCTAAGTGCTGGGATTATAGGTGTGAGCTACCATTCCTGGCCAAATTCCTTCATTTTAATGGACTAATAGGAAGATGAGGATTTGTGAAATCCATCTGCTTCTTGATTGAGTCTCTACTGCCTACTTAAAAAACTTTAAAAAAAATTGTAGTAAAACAGTTTATTGAGTGTGTTCTTTCAAGAGCCAATGTTGTGCGAAACATGAAAATCAGCGAGGCATGCTGTATTAAAAAATTGTTTTTTAAATTTTTTAGTTTAAAGATGTGGGGTATAATTCAGGGTTAGGTATACCAATGTTCATTTTGCAGGTACCCTTGTTGATGAGGTGTGCCCCCCTTCCCCTGGCAGTTTCCCACTACTGCCAATCTCTTTATTATAGTATTATGATAATTGTTCAAGGTCCACTTATGAGTGAGAACATGTGGTATTCAGTTTTATGTTTCTGTGATAGATCACTGAATATGATAGACTCTAAATCCATCCAAGTTGCTGCAAAGTCCATGTGTTTGTCCTTCTTTGTGGCTGCATAATATTCCATTGTACCGTATTTTTTTATCCAGTCCAGTTTCAATGGGCAGCACGGTTGGTTTCATATTTTTGCTATTATAAATAGTGCTGCAGTAAACATGTGTGTGCAGGTATCTTTTTTGTAGAATGATTTGAGTTCCTTCAGGTATATTCCCAATAGGGGAATTGCTAGGTCATATGGAAGGTCGATTTCTAGTTCTTTCAGAAATCGCCACACTGTTTTTCAAAGAGGTTGTACTAGTTTACATTCCCACCAGCAGTGTAGAAGAAGCGTTCCTTTTTCTCCACATTCTCACCAGCATCTGTTGTTTGTTTTATTAATGATGGCCATTCTTACTGTGAGGTTAGGTGGTACTTCAATGTGGTTTTGATTTGCATTTCTCTGATAATTAGTGAGAATGAGCACTTTTTCATGTGTCTGTTGGCTACCCGTATATCTTCTTCTGAGAAGTGTCTATTCATGTCTTTTGCCCACTTTTTAATGAGGCTTTTTTTTTTCCTTTTGGCACATTTGAGTTCCTTGTAGATCCTAGATGTTAGGCCTTTGTCAGATATGCAGTTGGCAAATATTGTTTAGGAGGATGCCATTAGAGTTTAACACTCTTGAGGAAGGCATTGCCTGGTTTTTTTTCCTTTTTTTAATTGAAGAGCAAAGTTGTATTTTTAATAAAAACATTGCTGTGTTTCAGGCCACACTCTTTCAGACATTACCTCTTCAACAAACAGAAGCCCAGGTCACGTCAGCCTCAAGCCAGCCGACGTCCCAGACTGTGACTGACGTTATCCAGCAGCTCCTGGAGCTCTCAGAGCCGGGGCCTGTGGAGTCTGGGCAGTCCCCACAACCTGGGCAGCAGCTGAGCATCACAGTGGGCATCAACCAGGACATTTTACAGGTGAAACACGCTCTACTATGGTGTGAGGGCTATTGCTTGTGCTCTATTAGAAATGGGGATGATGGGTGAAAATGAACATGGAAGGCTTGTTTGTGGTATCCTCATTAAGATGTGTGTGGTGAAACAAAATATACTTATTTAATTGCTTAGGGACAGTCCAGAATTCTAAATGATTTATTAATCTATAAATTCTTTAAAAATGGAAACTATTTTTTCCTAAGTGAATTTACTTGTAAATCACAGGTTTTCAGAACTTGTATTTCTTCCTGTTGACAGAGGTGGGAGAAATAGTCTATTCTTTCTTGAGGTTCTGGTGTATGACTTTGAGGTAGTCATAGTTGTTTACAGTTCTGACAGCATTAATATGGGCCTTCTCTTGCCAATGTGTGGAGAGTTGTGCACATGTGGGAGCAGAGGAGGAAAAGGGAGCACAGAGCTCTTTTCTGATTCTTCTAGTCCAGCATTACATTCACAAAAATTCTTCACTTTTAAACAGAGGTGGCCTTCTTCCTCCTCTCTATTATTTGTTTACCTAATTTTCCTTCTATATCTTCATGGTGAGAAGATGGTCAGGGATATAAGGAATCTCAGGATGTCATTCCACTCAGTGTTTACCTTTAAAGGTAAATCCAGTGTAACTTATGGCCTAAAATAGGTTTCCCATATGTATTCAGTGACATCCAAAGTTGTCTGAGGTAAAATTTCTAAAAGTCAAATTAATTTCAGTTCCCTTTAACTTAGAAATATAGATGTTTATCATATCATTTTGACAGCCTCAAAGAGTTGGCAGGCAGACTTGTAAATGATAACTTGGAATTGTAGGTTCTTATTTCTTGGAATAGAGTTAGAATGCTGAACATGAAGCTTTATGACAGGGTCCCCAACCCCTGGGCTACAGACTGGTACCAGTCCATGGCCTGTTAGGAACTGGACACCACAGCAGGAGATGAGCGGCCAGCAAGCAGAGCTCCATCTTCTGTCAGATTAGCGGCAGCATTAGTTTCTCATAGGAGTGCAAACCCTTTTGTGTGAGGGATCTAGGTTGCGTGCTCCTTATGGAAATCTAATGCCTGATTACTCTCCCAGCCTCATTCGTGAAAAAATTGTCTTCCACAAAACCAGTCTCTGATGCCAAAAAGGTTGGGGACCTCTGCTTTATGACATTATTGTGATTGATTTTGGTAGGCAGATTTGGGCCATTGTATCTTCTAACTTTTAGTTTTGTTCTGTCTCAGCAAGCCTTAGAAAACAGTGGGCTGTCTTCAATTCCAGTTGCAGCACACCCCAACGACTCCAGCCATGCCAAGACTTCTACAATACAGGTTCAGAACCCAGAAGTTTCCAATGTTTCCAGTGAGCAAATGGACCCTACAGATGCAGAGCAAGAAAAAGTACAGGAAAGCCCAGAAAAGTTGGATAAAAAAGAAAAAAAAATTATAAAGAAGAAATCACCATTTCTACCTGGTAATTTTACTAAGCTTTAACATTTAGGCATTTTGGATAGCTTGTCTTTAAGAAATATGTCCTTCTTTTTTTTTTCTGAAAGTGATAGGATATGTTTGTTGAATGTTCGAAACCTATCTGTAGTTGATTGGTATTTAAAATTAAAAGGATTGACAAACATAACATTTTTTTTTTTTTATTTTTAGTTGAGGTGTCACTGTGTTGTCCAGGCTGGAGTGCAGTGGCATGATCATGGCTTATTGCAGCCTTGATCTCTGGGCTCAGGCGATCCTTCTGTCTCAGCATTCTGAGTAGCTGGGACTATAGGCATGCACCATCATGCCTGGCTAGTTCTTTCTTTTTTTTTTTTTGTAGAGTTAGGTCTTGGCTGGTCTTAAACTTCGGAGTATAAGCAGCCTCTCAGAGTTCTGGGATTATAGACGTGAGCCACCATGCCTGGCCTTATTTCTTAAAATTGTCTCTTTCCTTGATTTGTTTTCTTTTTCCTGTTTTTTTCTGACTAGTTACTAGGGCTTAACATCTGCATTGTCTCTGTTCTCTTTCTGCTCTGTTTAGGCACCTCTGCTATACTCAGATCCATTGCTTTCCTTAGTTCTTGTTTGGGTGCTTCGTGTGTCTGCCCACTAGTTTCTAGTAGTTTCTGACCCACCTCTTCTTCCTGTTACCTAAATGTTGCCATCATCAAAAGATCCCTGCGGCACAGCTGCCTCCTGCATTCTTCATCCTTCCCGTTAATGTCTAATAATTCATCTCTTGGTCTTTGAGTCCTCCTTCACCTTTCCCACCTGCGTTTCCAGTCTTCCCTCTCCCCAGTGGTCTGGGCAAACTTACGTCATATTAAGACTGGATTCTTGCTGTTTCTGAATGTTCCACATTTTCTGAACATCGTGCTTTCTGCAGGTTTTCTGCATCAAGGGTGCCTTCTGCCTCACCCTTTCCTCTGTTCTCTGTCAAATCTCAGTGTCATTCAGGGCCAGCATAAATGCTGCCTCCTCGTGGAAGCCCTCTGAGGGGTGCTTTTCCTTGTCCCACCTCCCACTTACTTAGAATGTTTAGGATTCTTATGTTCTCTTGTGTTAATTGCTGTACAGATGCAGTCCAGTGTCCTTCAGGTGATAAATTCTTCTGGCTGGAATACATCCTATTTGTTTCTGAACATCCCACAGTGCTCAATATGGCTCTTGGCACAGTAGTAGGCAGGTACTAAATTTTTACTGAATAGGATAGATTTCTGTCTTTTGGGCAAAACTTTTCCTATAAAAGCCTCTTCCTCTTGCTGCAAAGCATGGAATAGCATTGCCATCTCTGTTAACACGTCTCTTATAGAGTGCATTTTCTCATTTGCAGTGTGATTGTGAAGACCTTGTTTCTCAACCCACACAACACCAGAGTCTTTCTCTTCTTCTTGATCTGGTCCCCTTCTTTCCACATGAAAAATAGGTTACTGAAATCTAAGCTGTTCCTCCTCCAGGGTTTCCTGGTCTCTAGCAGGGAAGGAAGAAGAAGTCATTTCCAAAAATTTCGATTGGCTGTAGGACAGCCTTACAAATTAAAGATGTTTTATGGGGTTCTGATAATCAGATGCAAATCTCTTGCCAGCATGAACGTTCCCGTATGTATTCTGCAGCCTGTGGTCTCTGGTTACTGTGCTAAATTAGCACTCTTGTGTGGCTGTAGGCCACTGGGTGAGGAGCCTGTCAGAGCTTCCTTCCTGAAAATACCCAGTAGCAACAGCCCCTTGAATTGAGGGGGTGAGCTTCACCTCATGATGCCCCTTTCTGACCTGCACTCCCATGTGTGGGAAGCAGCTCTTTCCTCTGCACTACATCCTAGCTGGGGAATTCGGAATAGAATTGCAAGGAACCTTCAGTATAGTGCTCTCATGAGGAGGGCTGTGCTCTCATAGTTTGTAAAGATTATGTAAACTAATGTCGGAAATACTCAATTAATTAAATATACATATAGAGTACTGAGCAAGTGTATGCGATTCTAGTAATTGCAGATTAAATGGGATCCTTAGTACAAGTTGGAGCTGGCACTTGTTTCTACATAGAGATACTCCTTTTGATTACATGTTTTCAGTGACAAGCACATTGTTTAAGACTAGCCAAGTGCAGTAGTGAAAAAATATATATTGTTGAGATATATATATATATATATATATATATATATATATATATATATGCAGAACAAGGTGTTCGATTTGTAACTGACTGTGAGCAGTCAATTGAGATAACAGTCAATTGAGATAACAGACCAACCAACTGGTGCACTTTTAACATAGTGACTGTGTCTGAAAATAACCCTCCAAGGACAGAATATCATTCTATATCCTGGGAAGATGTAAGAGGAAAATTGTTTGTTTTGTAATTCATAACATTAATTGCTTATAATAACCTTAATTACATTCCCAAGTTGAACATACTCTGCCACCTTAAATTGTTGCTGTTTGATTTATTCAGTTGTATCAGAGTATAGAATTTGCTTTATTATTTTAAGCCATTTATATATTAATTAAAAATTTAACAAATGCTTTTATTTATACAGCTTGTGACAGAGAAACCCATGTGAAGCTTTAGTAAAGTTTGAAATGTATTGTGGTGAAATACTGACTATCTAGAAATCATGGTGAAAGGTATTTTGGAGAACTGGTGATTTATTTTTCTAAGTGTGAAACTGATGTATCTATTTTGCGTGGAGCTTTTCTAAAAGCTGTTGTGCACTTCGCCTTCTTAAACCAGAGTGTGACCTTGTTAGCTTAGCTGTTTCTGGATGACTCGGGGTTAGTACTGTGAGCTGTGGTTTACTGTCCTGTGCTATGACGAGCTGGCATCCTGCTCTCTTGCTGCAGTACGTGGGCTCCCAGGTGCTGCAGTTCTTAGGCTTTACTGCTTTTAAAAAAGGTATTTATTATCTCTGTGTGCTGTCTTACATTCCCTGTAGCAGACCTTCTCCCACATTCTTTTGCTGCTAAGCTTTGTAGTCTGCCAAGTGCTTATACCTGTGGTAAATTTGGTTTTGTAATTGCATAAAAATGAAGTACAGTCAGCCCTTCTTCTTGTCTGTGGGTTTGCATCTGTTGATTCCCACTAAGCTCAGATTTTAAAAATCCCAGGGAATATTTTGTAAGATGCTCAAAGGATTGTTAAAAATACCAATGTGAATGGCACCAAAAATGACTTCTTTATACTGTACTAGTTGGAATTCCTCATCATGAAGTTGATACAGGGAAAGGCAGTCGTTTTCCTGGAAGCCATCATCTTCGTGGTCAGTGCCGAAAAACCCAGCTAACTACAGTACTTGATGCAAGGATTCCACTGCTTCCATTGATCCACAATATATATATATATTTAAACTTTAGCCTTAGGGAAGCACTTGACAAAAGTTCTGACTTACTTCTGGAGCAACTTTTGAGGAAGGGAGGTGTCCATATTAAAGACTGCATTCAGGGCTGTATCTGAGATGAATTTTCAGTGTCACTGCATTCAGGGCCCCATCTGAGATGAATTTTCAGTGTCACTGCACACCAGACGAGCAGTACTGCTTGTGCATATCCAGGGTAAAGGTTGGTTTTAAAGGTACTAGGAACCATGCGGGGGCCATGTACTCAAAACAGGAGCAGCAAATCCCACTGATTCCTCTGCACCTCCCCTAAGGACAAAGCATGTTTCTGTGTGCTTGGATCTGGACACTTAGCTGCTCCTAGGATGACAGTAACTAGCACTTGTTCTCTATTCTCTGTGCCTTGATTTTTTGTGACTCCACTCATTTGGCTGCCTGTGACTGTTTGAAGGAATGCAAGGTAACTCCCCCACATCTGCTTATCTAAAACAGCAGACTGACTTTTAATCCCCCTGATCAGAGCAATTCTTTGCAATTGCATTAGCAGAGGCATGAGCATCTGTTGTAAAATGGGGATACCTGTGTTTTAAACTTGACTGTCATCTGCTTGCTGAGAGAAATGAGTTCCTAGGGGTCTCTATCTGCACAGGCTTTGAGCATGTGTCTGCATGGATAGGAGGACCTGAAGGACTTCCTCCTCTAGGCACATCACCATGTGATTAGGGAATATGTGCACTCCTCTTCTGAGAATCTCTTTTTGTAAGACATTGCTGATGGCTGGCAGGAATGTCTGGAAGCAGGCCAGATGGACTTGCAGCAGCCATAGTGTCTCACCGTCTGCTTGTTGCTAGAAGCTTGTTGGTTCCTCTGGCAAGTCTGGCAGCATGGTGGGGGTCCATCTGTTATAAATGCCTGCCTTTTCTGGTGTCAGCATCAGTTTTTCTAACAGAACTTCAAGTTTTTCCCTTAGTGGAGTCAACAGTTTCCTCATTAATATTCACTTCCTCTTTATGAGTATTTGTAGTATTTGTAGTCTCCAGCTGTCTCATAGTTATTACTATTCATCCAGGACAACTATTCATCCAGGACAACTATTCTAAAGTGGAGAAAGCTCTAATAAGTCTTGTATTCTATTCAGAATTTCCCCAATGAAAGGATTCATTTGTTTCTTAAGAAGTGTGACAAATCTACAATGTAGGTAAGCAGTTCTGCTGCGTACTTTTTCTCTAGGATGTTGTAGACCCCTGTGACCTAAAGATATCATTAGAATCTGTGGAATGTGTTGATGTTCAACTGAAAAACTTTTCCTATCTAACAACAGTTTGGAGAACTCCATTGTCACAGATATACATTGATAGGAGCAAACTCCTGATTTTACCAGATTCCAAGTCTTATCTGCAAAGCACTACCTGTTGACCCATCACTTGAGAAGGGCGTACCCTGAGATGCTAGAAGAGCTTCTGCTGACACATACAGCAATCTAATTGCTACTTCATCTTCCTTAGACTGTGTAGTCTGCCAGTGCTGCACTTAAGAAATAAAAACTCTGTGAACAAAAGATAGCAGTAACTGGTGAATCTTGAGCAAGCTATCCAATAATAACTTCAGTTGTTTTCTATATTTTGTAAACATGGCCTCATCTTCACTCTCATTTTCAA